GGACGGCCAGCTCTAGGAAAGGGTCTGGTCGTCTTAAACGTCTTCCATTTAAGGATTATGGAGGTCACTGTGCTCTTAGGAACCTTAAGTGCAGCAGAATTTTTTTGTAACCTTGGCCAGATCTGTGCCTTGCCACAGTTCTGTCTCTGAGCTCTTCAGGCAGTTCCTTTGACCTCATGATTCTCATTTGCTCTGACATGCAGTGTGAGCTGTAGGGTCTTATATAGACAGGTGGGTGGCTTTCCTAATCACGGTCAATCAGTATAATCAAACACAGCTGGACTCAAATGAAGGTGTAGAACCATCTCTGGGATGATCAGAAGAAATGGACAGCACCTAAGTTAAATATATGAGTGTCACAGCAAAGGGTCTGAATACTTATGACCATGTGATATTTCAGTTTTTCTTTTTTAATAAATCTGCAATAATGTCAAAAATTCTGTTTTTCTGTCAATATGGGGTGCTGTGTGTACATTAATGAGGAAAAAAATGAACTTAAATGATTTTAGCATATGGCTGCAATATAACAAAGAGTGAAAAATTTAAGGGGGTCTGAATACTTTCCGTACCCACTGTATATAGCGCATTTTTCCACAGTGTGTTGCACTGGCCAAAGTGCAGAAGATGATACACCATTCACACACAATTCAGGGATCGGTGTCTTGTTCAGGGACACTTAGGCATGCAGGAAGACCAGGAGTCGAACCACCAACTTGCTGCTCAGGAGACAACTGCCCTACCTCGTGAGCCACAGAGCTGAGTTGTCACTCAAAGAGTACGATACCCTGATAAAAACTCAGTGAGGTTGAAACCAGTCAGTGTTTTAACTAGTTTACAGTGTCTGTTTAGTCTGACCAACAGTCCACACCCCATAATGTAAAAAAAAAAAAGAAAAGGAAAAGCAGCAAATCTTCAAATGTGAGGAGCCAAAATCTTAAATTTTTTGGCACTTTTACATGAAGCTGCCAATTAACTTGCTACCAGTCACCTTAGAGATTAATCTACTAATCATTTCTATTTCTTATTAGCTCTTCATTTGCTGCATATGCAAAACTCTTAAATTGAAAAGTATATAAGTTGTCAGAGGACCGCAGAGAAATAGAAGCATGGAAATACAGTAGAAGCACCTCAAAATTGTACTGAAGTACAGCTCTGTCAGATACCACAAGGAGGTAGTGAAGTGGACAGACATATAGGTCAACATCTCAGCAGCAGATTATACCAGATTAGTGTCCCAGTGAGTACTAAAGGTATTAACGGTAATATTATTACAACTGCAGTAAAATACAGCTCAGAATATTAAATGCATCTCTCTCTCTCTCTATGCCATTCTCTGTCAGTGTCTCTCGACCACCCCTCAGTCTGACATAATAATACGTTTTATTGTAGTACTGGGGTATATCTGATTGATCTGGACTGTGGCGTACTGGTCTGTTATGATCTGTGCTGCCCCCTGCTGGTCCCACAGCTCATCTATAAGTATTTGTATTTATACAGTGTCTGTACTGTGTATTCATTCTTTAGTACTGTTCTTTGATGTTTCTCTTGAAGTTCTTTGAGAACAAAGAGGATGTGTGTGAGCTCAGGATTCACATCCGGTGAATAAGATTATTACTATTAACCCAATTCACAGTACAACAACAGCTACTGCATCGTTACTGCATCAATACTAATAATCTTAAATATACTATTATTCTGAAAATGTGTCATTCTACATGACTAATATTACTTTTGGTACTTTGGTAAATTTGGTTAATATTTCTAATACTTTAGTACTTTTATTTAAGTAACATTTTTAATGCAGGACCTTTACTTAGAGAATTTATTCCCTGTGCTATTGGTCTGTTTACTAAAAGAACTGAGTACTTTTCCACCACTGCTAGTACTTCCACTACTACCTCCTGTTTACAGTCGGCTGTTTCCACATCAGGCATAATAATAACAATCGCATATTGGCCTGCTGTCATATCGACCAGGTCGCACGCACACACACACACGCTACTGCAGCTGTTACCATGGAAACAAGCTGATGAATAATTGAGGGAGACAGCGACCCTACACCGTACAAAGAGCGATTTTGAGAGATGAAAGAAGTGTTCACACACACACACACACACACACACACACACACACACACACACACACTACTACAACTGAACACACTGATGGAAACACACATTTGTACAGCTATCTTTGTGAGGACACTCATTGACATAATGCATCCCCTAGCCCTTTACCTAAACCTGGTTCTAATCTGAACCCTCAAACTGCCCTTTGACAGGGTGAGGACCAGATATGTCCTCACAATGCAACCGTGTCCTCACAAGGCTGGTAAAAAAACTGGTCCCTCCACTGTTGGCCTCTGATGCACACACACACACTACAGGTTATCATCACGGCCACTGGCATTTCAAAATAACCAAATCAGAGCACTGACAGTATGTGTGTGCATGGCAACACCCACCGCCCAAAGTTAAACACCAGGGTTTGAGTCACCCTGATATCTCCTTATGTAAGTACACACACACAGACACACACTCAGAGTGCTAATAACACTGCTCCAGAGACAGGAAGAGCAGAGGCCGGATGTGAAAACCTTTAATTAGTGCTAACAGTCACAGTCAGACTGACAAGTTTCTATGTGTGTGAGGAACAGATGGGACAAACCGACAGCGCTGTAATCAACAAACCAAGAACACTTCATGCAAACAAAACTAAATAAACACTATAAGTGAACATGACTTCTACAGAAACACACTGCATTCACAAAATAGAAACCTGTATAGTGATTATGACTTATTATCTCATAATTACGAGACAATGTAGGACCTGTGGGACAGGAACAAAACTTGCCTGAGAATCACCAGGTTTTTTACGTTTTCTTCAGTGTCACACAGTAACACAGTGACAGTTGTCAGTGTGTCTGATGGTACACAACAAAAAATAACTGTCAG